CAAAAATAATAATTTTAGTAAAATTTACATCATCATGAACAAATTTTTTATATATTTACTCATTTAATATTTAAATATTTCGTGTTTTTATATATTATATTTTTGATGTTATTGAAACATTATGATACTCCATAAATAAATATTAAATTTAAGTATTGGGCGTGTAAAAATAAATAAACAATATTATGGTACTTATGTTAAATTCTCCTTATTTTAATAACAAAATTATTCATATTTATGCATTAAAAGAACATTATTGTTCTCATTTAAAATAAATTATATACAATAGAATTAAAAATCAACCGAAGCATGGCATGCACATATGAAGCAGAAATATTATTGTTCTCATTTATTTTTCTAAAAGGCTACCCTTAGAATAATAAGGATTTTTTTTAACTAGTTGTTCTAATGATGGAGCAAGCATCAAATGACCTTAATAGCCTTTAGAAAATATGATAGCTAGAAATTAAAAATTAATTTAAATTCTCTGGTAAGAAAATTTTCAAATATTTGCTAGATAATTCTAAATATTTACAAAATGATTTTTCTAACTATATTGATTGTGACATTAATTATAAAATGTAAGCGAATATTTTACAAAATATGCAAACAAGCTATGCAAAATATTAAAGGTAAATTCTATGGTTGCTAACTTCAGCCTGTAGTCCGTCTTGATCTATTGGTTGGGAGCTCGACGAAAAATGTCTTAAATCATACATAATTATTTTTCTTACAGTATATTAAATTTCTTCTTGCATATGTGTGATGAAGTATTGAAGTCTAAGAATCTTTGTACATATTATTGCATGGAGTAGTTGAAATAACAATTAATGCATTAGGACATAGTATGCTGTGGCTATGCCTTCAATGCATTTAAAGCTATGAACTATCCCTATCAAAGAAATTGATAAATTTGGGCCCTCCCTGAGCTCCTGCAGTAAATCTACTGATGCATCAAATGTTCACATGTGATAAGGTACCTATGAGCATTCAAGCGAGGTTTAAGCTTTATTTTTGAAGTTTGAACACAGAAAGGTAGTCAAACTGTATCAGTTGATTTAACGATGCTTGTTAATTAATGAATGGCGGTGTTTGCAGGTGAGTTGCTTGGTCTACCGCTCATTCCTCCATTCTCCCAAGTTTCTGGCAACATAAATAGTGCCATTAATGGAGTTAACTATGCCTCTGCTGCTGCAGGCATTTTGGACATAAGTGGCAGAAATTTTGTAAGACGCAGTATTTTGTTTCAGCGATGGTCATTTTTCTGTGTCTGCTCTGGTTTTTATTTATTTCTTTTTAAGTTTTGGGGTGTTTCAGTACCAATCTACTTAAAATCTACTTAAAAAAAATGCGAAATATATTAGTATTAAAACACTAGAAGCTGGCCTTTACTTGCATGTTTAAATTTTTTGCATTGAAACCACATCGAATTATTGGTCAATGTTACTTCAATTTTTTTTATCTGTATCTCTACGAGTGTTTAGAGCTGATGATTTGACTTTGATTAAGTGGTTCATATATACATTCATTCAACGTGGTAGAGTCTTCAACTATATATGGTTGAGGATAGTTTGAGAACATATGTCTCTCATGTTGAAGAAATTATTCTGTGCGGACACCGGACAAAGCTTACCGTCTAGAGGCGAATCAAGTGCAGCCACATCGTCCGGTACCGAGCAGGAGGTGATGTGGAGCATTTTCATTCGGCTCCGAACGGTGCTAGGCGTCCTCACAGAATAATTTTTTCCTCATGTTGCCCCAAGTTGTCGAATGAACTTTTGGTGCATGACATGACAATATTAAAAAAAAAATAACTACGTAGTTTTCAAAAAACAATCTCATTTGAGGAGCAAGAGTTATTATCTCAAGGGGATATTTGTTAAGGCATGCTAGAGTAGTAGGTTAGTTCTACATTGATCAAGTGTTAAAAAAAAAAAAAAACTATGTTGGTGTAAGAAGCCTCAAAGCTCACTATTTCCTATCATTATAGAAAATGTTAATATTCGGATTCACAATTTACTCACTTGCGCCATATATATGCTTTTGTTATGAATTCAGGTGAGCTTAATACCATTCAACCAACAAATCAGAAACTTTGCGTCAACAATGGAACAGTTCAGTACCATCTTAGGAGCACAAACGGCATCAGACTCGATTGCACGCTCCGTATTATTCATAGGATTTGGGAGCAACGATTACCTTAACAACTATCTGATGCCAAACTACAACACACGCTTTCAGTACGATGGGGATCAGTTTTCTGATCTTCTCATTCAACATTATTCTAATCAGCTTGAAGTGAGAACTGTTATCATACTGTTATCAGCATAAATGTTTAAAAATTCTACTTTGATAAACGAAAAATTTTCATTTTTCTGATGCAGACTCTTTACAACCTTGGAGCTCGAAGATTCATAATTGCGAACGTTGGAGTGTTGGGGTGCATCCCATACGTTCTTTCTCAGAATTTGACGAGCCACTGCTCATCAGAGGTTAATAATCTTGTCATCAACTTCAACAGTAAACTTCAGCCGATGCTCCGTAATCTCAATACAAATCTTCAAGGATCTCAATTCTTACACATGGATATATACAACATGTTCAAGGATATACTTGAGAATCCAAGAAAGTATGGTAAGCATATTGATTCTTACCTTTCATTCACTTATAGTTTTTAATTTCATTGCATCCAAGATGCGTTTTCTCATTGGTAACTTCCAAACTAAAGAACGCTCACATTCAGTTTATTGAAGTTTTTTCTTTGAGGAATGCTGGATTTGTCAAATTGATTCACCTCTTAAGTTTGTGACATACAGTGGCAGAAGGAATTATTGCCGAAACTTCTATTTAGATTATATTTTTTTCAAATCAACAGATTAATCAACCATATTTCATATCTATTTTTGATTCTGCTGAAATACATTTAAAAACAAAACTTTTTACACTAAAATCTGATATTTTACTCAGAAATAAAACATTTCACTTAAAATAAGGTAACTTGGGGTCTGTTTAGGGCTGCCGCAATTTTTGTAGAAGTGGTTGCAAATCTATCGTAGTAAAAATAATTTTTTTGAATGTTGTTTTGAGTAATTATTTTTTAACAAAGTTGGATTGCACCTTCCTTACAATTACAATATTCCAACATATCAGATTCTAAAATGAAGCTTCACACCATATAAATTTCTAAAATGCAACAATAAAGCTATTGCCAAATAAATGTGTAGTAGTGGTCTGAAAAATAAAATAGTGAGAAAGCTGCTTCAAATAAACCCTTAGTGAAATACCTTATGTTAAGCTGTAATGAGCTTATTTTTTTTGGAAATAATGTCTTATTTATTTATTTATTCATTGAAAATTCCATATATCTTATTTTTATTTTTGGTAAGTTAAAAATGAGGTGTAGGATACTTAATTCAAGTGATCTGCTATTAACTTTCTCTTAATGAGTGTGAGCATTTTTTTTGTGTGGATAAAATTCATGGAAGGACCTGCCTACACGTTAATATAAATAAAACAATTACAAGTCCTTAAGGGATCAAGAGCTCTCTAAAATACAACATTTGAAGCAAAACCTAATGGGCCTATGATCCAACTAATATAATAATAAACAAACAAAATGAAAAGGCATAAAACTCATAGAGAGTCAAAAAGCAGTCCAATTCAAGAAAACCAGTAAAGAGAAGAGGCAACCAGAGAGTTCCAGAAGAAGAGCAACTGCACAGTCAGAGAGATAGTAAAATTTGTATGAACATCTGAACAAAATCCCACAGCCCTAAAGAGTCACCAACAGTAAACTCACTACAAGCAGCTAGAGAGACAATAAGGTGATAGAAGCAGAAAAACAACATCAGGGAGAAAGGAAAGGAATCCAAAACAACAGCCCTCCAATCACAACAAACCAAACCATTCACAAACAAGTAGAAGAAAGGGCCCAAACGGCTAAACTGAGAAACAACTAGTAGCAAACCACCAAAATCTCAACCAACACCCCATCAGAACAAAGAAAACACAACAAAGCAAACACAAAAGACAAACCATCATTAGCAACAAAATTTAGGAGTTTAAATCTCTGAGGTCTTCGTTTAGAAATCTTAAAATCTTGCACCAAAATTTTTTTTTTTTTTGCAATCAACTTTTGAAAATCATCATTACCAACTTACACAATATTCATATCAAAATTGATGTGACCTAAATTCTATAGCCAAATAGTAGAACACTAGAAATACAACAGGACACCTCCTTTCAATAAAATATTAATCAACAACAACTGAATGAAACTTATTAGCAAACAGATATAAGTAAATGATTAGGAAATCATGCAAGCAACAAACTAAAACATAAAATAAACAACCATCAGAACAACCTAGAAAGGTCACATCACATGCAAATATGAAAATTAGAAAATGGTGCTCAAAGAAAAATCAAACAAGTGGTTCGCCGCAGAATCTTGGTCCAACTGCAGCTGACACTCCTCTGGCAAATACCAACAAACAGGCTCAACAACACCTCACACTCACTATATTTTGGAGAAGAAAGATACAAGCGGAAGGGAAATTGTGGAGAGAAGAAATAGATAGAAGATCAGGAAGTAGAAATAGGCGTATGAAGAAGATAACTCTCAAACTAGGAGGAAAACCCTCAGGTTTGAATTAGATCTCAGCTAACAACAAGCCTTTTCCTGCAACAAATTAGCTATATTTATAGGAGAAAAAGTCCAAATTCCCACATAAATGTGTGCCACCCTAAGCAACCAATATGAGCCACATATCGAGAAGATAAAACACTAGACTAGGAATCAACAAAGAGGGAGGGGAACGGACAACAACATGAAACCAAAGCCTAGGGAAAACAGAACAGCGTGGGAATCCAGCAGCAAAATAATCAAAATTTACGTGGGAAACCAGCAATAGAATAATCAAAATTTGCATGGGAAACCGGCATCAAGAATAACCAAAATTTGCATGGGAAATCAGCAACAGAATAACTGAAATTTACATGGGAAATCAGCAGTAGGAGTAACCGAATTTAAAACCAGCCATGAAGAGACATGGGCCAAGCATATTATGGGAGAAAACAACCCAAGATTAAATGTCCAATTAGCTAAAAAGGAAGCAAGTAAACAAATTCAACTTGAATGGAAAACCAAAGGAGAGAAAATACTTAAGAGCTCCATACCCAAGCATGATCATGGGTTGATTTCCATCATAGGGCACCTAAAAAAAACATAGTCCATAATTACAAAACATCCAAAACATAAGAAATAAAATGCAAAATATAAAATTCTAATCCTAGATTGCATCAACAATCCTCATGGAATTCAATACTAACATCCTCATTAGCCTCTCTAGAATCTCTAATAACAAGCCTTCAAAATAGAAGTAGTAGGATAATTATTTAAGAAATTGGCTATGTTGCACCAATACACCTATTTATGAAGGCATGTTGTATTTGATACACCGGTACAGGGATACGCCTCCGATACGGCACCGATATGTGTCGAATACAGCTTTGTTGTATCTAATTAAAATACTATTTAATTTCAAAAGGACACGGGTATCCGATACGCTTGTTCGTTGAAAAATAAAAAATATACAAAAAAACCAGTCGTATTTACTTCCGCGACTGCGAGCGAGGTTCTCTCATTTCCGAGTTGGATTTGAGTCTCTTGATGATATTATAATATTAAAAATTGTTAGTCTTTCACTTGATCAGCCTGAATTAGAAGCTATAATATTTATTGAATATAATATAGAAGTTCGACGAGAACCCACTGAAGAAGCTAATCATATCATTCCTTCTATCGAATATTTGAAATTTCATGTGCTAGACAATTTATGTTTTTGCTTTTATTGTTGTACTAGACATTTAATACTTACTTTTATTTTGATATTATAAGCTACAAGGCTACAAATGATGTTTTTTTTTTGTAATTTCAAATATTATGCTTTGATTGCTTTCTTAATTTTTATATATGATTTATAAATTATAATATCGTGTCTGTGCCGTACCGGTATCCTGTATTTTTAAGAATTGATGTGTCTCGTATCTGTATCGTGTCGTATTTGTGTCGACATATTCATATTGGTGCAACATAGGAAATTGAAGATAAAAGCTACGGGTAAAACTTCCATATTATTTGGTAATATCCTTATCAACCACATAATCATTAGCAGTATGTAAATCAGGCACTACCAATATTAGTCAGCATATGATTCACAACCATATTGTCAAGATTATCAATAATTTTTTTACCAACAGCTATAGAATTCACATTAGAGTTGTCACCATAAGCCACAAACTCATGAAAGGTAGCATCAGCCTTGCCATTACCAATATTCGAAATGTTCTTAGAATCAGGGACAATAACTTAGGGGAATCAATGACAGAAGGGACAGCAGGTAAAGTTTCCTTGCAAACACTATCATTAAAAACAATAGGCACCGATTTTGACATAACTAATTGGGGATTTAAGATACAAAATTCCTTTTTATCATAACCCAAAGCTTTACAATGATCACAAAAAGAAGGGAAATCCACCATCACAACAAATTGAACATACCCCAGTTATCCGGACCGATCCAAACAAAATCGGGGTAACGCTTAGTAATATCCAGCTTAATTAAAATCCACAAAACCAAAGGGTGAGAGCCAACTGAAGTTGCATTGTTAGTGCGCAGGGGGCGAACAAATAACAAACCTAAGCCATGTAAAATACAAGGAGAAAAAAGGTGGGGACGCAGATTAGGGAAGGAGACCCTAATGAGTATAATGGGAGATTCAACTGTTATATCAAAGGAGACCACTTAACCAATTTCAAAAACAATTATTGACAAAATAAGAACAATTCGCAAAAACCTAGCAGTAATTCAAATCATTCACAAGTTTAATTAGAACATGCTTCGTATCCAAGAGAGTCACAAAAAATTCACCAGCAAGCTTAAGGTTAAAGAAATTTTCCTAATAGATTCCAAAGCCAGCCTATTATCGGGAAATTTACCAACTAATGAGAATTCAAAAGGTACAATGAGAGCCAAAATTTCCTCCTCAAAAATCTATAGAGACAACATACCACGAAAAGTCAATGGTTTAAGAGGAGGGAAGGCCACCAGAGAAGTCCTTACCAAGGCTTCAATAAACAACTTATAAACATTTTTACCAATAAGAAAATCAGTATCGCTCAAACGAATCGGATTAACTGCCATCTAACGAAGTCGAAGGAACAACAATCAGGCAAAGGGAGAGCAAATCCAAGAGAAGAGAAAAAACCAGAAAGAAGAGAAACAAAGAAGTAGAAAATTCCCTGATAGAAGAGACGAGCACCACCCAAGGGAGAAGGGCGGCTAGGGTGAAGCGCTAGCAGAGCGGGCGAGTAGGAAATGGCTGTTTTTAAAATTTTTAGGAGTGTTTAGCACATGATGTACAATTTTGTTAGTTATTAGGGTATTTGATTTCAGGCTGATGGTGTAGAGACAAAGGTTTTGTTTGGGACAATTTTCTTATTGTTTTCTAAAGCAATTTTCTAGTATAAAATTTTTTAAATTAATTTTTTTTGTAATCAAAAGCTGAATAGTGCCATTGCCAGTTTCCAAGTCCTGGATGAGAAAAGTAGAGGGTTGCGTTAGGTAGTCGACAGCCAGCGTAAAACTTGTCGAATAATCATGACATGAATCCTTTAAAAAATTGTGTTAATGCTAGGGTGTCTCTTGGAAGCGATGCACTGTATGGCCTGAATACAGTGACAAGTGTGCAAGGGCCGCTGCACTGGCGCCCGGGTGTAGTGTTAAATAGGCAAGGTTTCCCATATCAAAGACGGATGTTGGCAAAGAAGCTAGTCCATGAAACTAAAATTATGATAAGAACTTGGAATATAGGCTCCCTTACAGGAAAATTAATGGAATTAATAGATATTATGATTCATAGGAAGATAAATATTTTATGCATTTAGGAAACTAAATGGGTTGGAGAGAAAGCTAAGGAGATTAATAGTTTAGGATATAAATTATGCTATTCGGGTAGGAGTCATACTAGAAATGATGTAGGTGTGATTATAGATAAGAGTTTGAAGGATAATATTATAAAAATTAACAATATTGGAGATAGAATTATAGTTTTAAAGATTATTGTTGATGCTAAGATTGTTAATATTATAAGTGCTTATACTCCTCAAGTAGGTTTGGATATGAGTTCAAATTTTGGAATGACTTAGAAGAATTAATACAAAATATACCTCTTGAAGAAAAAGTTTTTATTGGAGGAGATTTAAATGGATATGTTGGCAGAGAGGTAGATGATTTTAAAAGCATCAATGGTAGCCATGAGTTTGGAATGATAAATGAAGGTGGTAAGACTATATTAGATTTTTCTTTAGCTTATAATTTCTTAATAACTAATAACTTATTTAAGAAAAGAGATGAACATCTTATCACTTATAAAAGTGGATATAGTAAAACGCAGATTGATTATTTTCTTATAAGAAAATTAGATCATTTAGATTGCAAAGATTGTAAAGTTATTCTAAGTCAAAATTTATATACCCAACATCGATTATTAGTTTTGGACTTTAAGATAATGAGGCAAAAAATAAAAAATAAAGTAAAACAATTTTCTAAAATTAGATGGCGGCATTTAAAGAATATTAATTAAAGTATTTTTGAGAGTAAGATTTTAGATCTTAAGATTCTGTCTCTGCATGAGGATGCCAATATTATGTGGGAAAAAGTGGTTTGTGATATTAAGAATATTGCAAAAGATGTGCTTGGAGTTTCAAAGGGAAAAGCTTCTAATAGTAAAAATAGTTGTTGGTGGAATCCAAATGTGCAAGAAAAGATAAAAAATAAGAAGATTTGTTATAAAAATTGGTTTAGATATAAAAATTCTGATAATTGGGAAAGCTATAAAGAGGCTTGTAAGGAATCTAAGAAAGGCATTTATTTATTTCAAGCCAGAATGCCGAGCTGTTGATTTATCCCTTTATTATTTTCGGACTTCAATTGTGTGTTTGATTTCCTTAATTTATTACTTTAGAATGAGTAGCTCTAGTGGAAGATAAGATTAGAGAGAGTCGCCTTAGATGGTTTGGTCACATTAAACGGAGGCCTTCCGATGACCCGGTTAGGAAAGTTGAGGTATTAGATTTGGCTTATGTTAAGAAAGGTAGAGGTAGACCTAAAAAGACTTTGTTAGAAAATATTAGAAATGATCTTTCTTTATTAGATTTAGATGAGAATTTGACTTTTAACCGGACACAATGGCGAAAAAAAATTCATGTAGCCGACCCCACGTAGTGGGACAAAGGCTTGATGTTGTTGTTGTTGTAATAAAAAACTGCTTTAAAAAACACTAAAAAATTGTCTCAAACAAAGCCAAAGTCTCCCAACCACTCAACCATTACTCTATATGTAGTTCAGTGGCATGAAATTAATTTAAATGGGAATCTATTGAGATATAGCATTTTTCGTCTTCTTTTTTAAGATCAAGATGCCTAAGTTTAAGACTAATGCTGAATGGAATTTGGACAAAATAGTTGAAAAGGATGCAAATTTAGGTATTCTCCTTACTCTTACCTTTACCAAAAAATAAAAAACAGAACTATCCTTTTGCACATAGGCGGATCCACATTGGCCTAACAGTGGGCAAATGCCCACCCTCAAAATTTTTTTTTTAATATTTAGAGGGAATTTTTTAGAATATTTTGGATATTTTGCACATTTTGCCCCCCCTAAAACAATTTATTTGTCCTAATTTTATCAATCCTAAGCATCTTTGCCCATCCCTCAAAAAAATTTTTTTTTGCCCACCCTAAAAAAAGGAGCTGGATCTGCCCCTGCTTTTGCAGTTTCTAATTCTATTCTGCTAACTTTTTTTTTTAATTAGTTGAAGAACTATTTTCAAATTATTGAATGCAAATAAATGAAATAATATACACAAAAACACATCCATACAGATTTGTTCAATTGAGAATTATATCTTTTTGCTGCTTAGATTGTAGATGACATTTCGTCTTAGACTTTAATCAGACTTCACCGCTTAATATTTTGACCAAATTTTTCTACCCATCCAGTATTCCTTCTTAGTAAAGTTATGAATTAAGTGGCAAAAATGAAAGGAAAAAAGATGGTTGAGAAGGGCTGTGCAACCAATCCCACTGCGACATTACTTGCAATGATTAATAGTAAGAATTGATCTTCATGTTGCAGGATTCAGTGTGGCCAATCGAGGCTGCTGCGGAATTGGAAGAAACAGTGGGCAGATCAGCTGCCTTCCATTTCAGACTCCATGCCCAAACAGAGACCAGTATGTCTTTTGGGACGCCTTCCATCCTTCATCAGCTGTAAATATCAAACTGGCAAGAAAGTCTTTCAGTGGTAGCTCAGATATAATCTCTCCCATGAACATACAACAACTAGCAACTCTTAATCCTTAACAACAACCTGCAAAAATTTTCTTGAGTCCCTAAGTTAAAGCCATGTATTGTTGGTTGTTTCTTGGGTTGTTTCTATCTTCTCCTGTTTGATTTAGCTTGCTACCTCTTATCTATTCTGTCTAACTGGACTATTTGATAATATCATGGAGTTCTTATGATGCCAGGCAATGTGGTTGAAATCTCATATTGAATTGAATCTTGCTGAAGTTTTGTTTTATAAGTGGTTAAGAGAAGAGCTGTTAGAGTGAATTATTATGAAATTGAAAATTACAAAGAGATTTAATGTATGACATATCTGTCTTCGCATGACAATGGAGACAAAAAGGAAAAAAAAAAGAACTCATAGTTTAGCATCTAGTGAAGCTTCAAGCTAATGCAAGCTGCTTAATGTTCATCGGATACACATCCAAAGATGACGTTGAATTATACGCCTTTGTGGCATAGATTTGGTTGGCAGCTTCAGTGGGGTGAAATGCATCCCAGAACAAATGGCTGCTGTGATTTGCACAAGGGGTCTGCAATGGCAGGCAAGTGATCTGCCCATTGTTCCTTCCCACCCCACAGCACCCTTTATCAACTACATTAAAGCCTGCAACATACAAATAAACAACAATATTTCATATAATCATAACATATACACTGATATATTAAACATAAAAGGACTACCATATGCCATTGCATTCTTGACAAGATCCTTCGAGCTTTCATAGGTGTTGACATATATGAACATAGCATCTTCCATGTCACGGTTAAATCTCTTCACCATCTGCAGAAGTCCAATGTTGAATATGTTGATGGCTTTGTTAATCTTCTCATTGCATCTACTTCCAGTTTTGTTGTTTGAACTACTAAGCCTTGCTAGCTCATAAGGTATGCAACCAATTTCTCCAAGGCCTATGGCTGCTACTTTCCTTGCACCTAATTCATATAATTGCTGATACAAATAAGAAAAAAAAAAACTTAAAATTATAGGTTTTTCAGCTAAGTTAGAATTGGAGAAGAGTTGTGAATGTTGAGTGCTACATTTAAGAGCCTTGAGTAGTCTTCCAGGAGGACAGCTGAATATGTAGTGGGACTGTAGTCAGAGCTTGTTGTGTAGTAGTTGGGCATGAAGTAATTGTTAAGGTAGTCATTGCTTCCCATACCAATAAAAAAGATACATTTGCTTAGATGATCAAATAGCTTTGTGTCATTTCTTTGGAATAGCCTCCTTATGACCTGCACCACTTGTCGAAAATGCTCTACTTGCTCTGTGAATGAGTAATGCTCACCCTGCAATGTGTGTGGCTTGGATTCAGAAACTGTAAATGATCAAGCTCTGTTTGGGATGGCTTTTTCACTACTTCTTAAAGCAGCTTTTTAGTTCAAAAATTTTAATTTCGTATTAAAAAACTGTTTTAAGAAGCAGGAAAATAGCAGTCTCAAACGAACCCCAAAATTTAGAAAAGTTACTCATGTACCAAGTTGTTTCCTGTTTCATCTCTGATGCCAGCTGCTCCTGAGGCAAAATTTACTCCTCTAAGCACTTCATTTCTTTGCACGGTTGAATAGGAAGGGATGAAATTTCGAAAGCCTAATAGTTGAGCTGCAATAACGCATATAGAGGATTGAAGCAAGTACTCTTTCCGGAAAATATTAGGTGAGGTAGCTCTGTATTGATCTATGTGGTCTCACCATACAAGATCATAGAGTTCAAATTATGGTATTAAGGCGCATGAGCCTGTTAGATTTTGTCATACTTAACATAGTAGTTGGTGTAGACATGTTAGTGTATGGCTTTTTGACCCTGTTTATTAAGCTTTTGGGCTTACAAATGTGATCTTTGATCTACTTTGGTCTGTACTCTGTACTATCTAATAGGTGGTATGTCAGATAATAATAATAATAATAATAAATGTTACTATAATGGTGCTAGTTGTTGGTCCTCAATTTTGAGCTAAATTGTTTTTTATTGAAAAAAAATTTAAGCAATGATATAATGGTGAGAAATTATTAGTTGCTGACAACATATGTGGAGTTAGGTGCATAAACCAAGAGTAAATGATTATGTATTCACACACTTAAAAACACACAATTGTGCATTGAACATTGAGCATTTTGTTTGGGACGATTTTTTTACTACTTCTTAAAATAGTTTTTTATTTTTAAGAAATATTAAAAAAACTGTTTCAAATGAAGGCTGAGTAAATAGCTGTGTACCTTCATTTTGGGTATGTAAATTGGACTAACTTTTATCCCTTTGGATCGGACTTCCTAATATATTCCCTAAACATTTAGGTGCTTCATAAGGAGAGAAATATGAAAATATACCTAAAACATCAACGGTGGTTCGACCATTGTTGAACCTGCCCGAAGGCCCCTCCGAAAAATCAACACCATAAGGCATGTAGTTAGCTCTTGCAAGAGTAAGGAGGCCATTGTTGTTTCCATTGTCCACTAGAGAATCACCAAAGATGAAGAAGCAAGGGACCTGAGGCTCTGACCGTGTTTCTGCTGCACTTAACAGGAATAGAATGAGCAGAATAACTTTCCTTAGCTCCTCCATTGATGAAAATTGTGAACAGAAATGAACTTGAAGAGTGGGGGAACAAGACAAGAATTTATAGAATTCCTAAGCGAGTCAACTTGAGTCCAGTGAACAGTAAATACTTGATGAAGGTCGGTCAAGGCTGGAATCCAAGCCAGAGAACTCGTGAGTGTTTTTAGCATATTGTAAGCTTGGTTCATGTGACTTGCTTGGTTTTGAATAAATAGGGGTGGTGATGGTTCATTGATAGATAGATCAGTTCGAGGTTGGAGAAGATTTTCTGTACCTCACCCCCACGAAGGACAGCGGTGAGATTTACTGCTATAATTGATCAACTGGTACCAGCACCGAATATCTCTTGGCCCAGTTTGGGGGATGAAAAGAGGTCGGTTAATGTTATATATATTAATATTCTCTTAAAATATAAATGTATGTTGGTTCTTGCTCTGTTTTGGCTTGAAAGTTCTAAATTTTGAAAGAAAGCGCAGCATGATTCAACTATTTATCAGATCTAATCATGAAAAAGTTATCAGGTAAGGTAAATATTTGTAGAAGAAATTACAGTGAAGTCCAGAATAATAAGTTTATTTTAAGGGTATGTTTGAGGAGAAATTACTGTGTGCGGACACCGGACGTCGTTTGGAGATGAATCAGGACGCGCCAAGTTACTTTTTTGTTGTATACCGGTGTTGTGTACCAGGTGCGTGACGCATTCTGATTTGCCTCTGAACAGTCCAGTATCTGCACATAATAATTTCTCCTGTTTGAGGTTTCTCTAGCTTTTTGGTAAAAAGGATGTTATAAAATTGGTATGAGAAAAATAATTTTTTTTTAAATATTATTATGAGTATTATTTGTTAAGAAGAGTGTCTGAAATCACTGCCCATTATAGCATGCTGACAATTCGTGAATCCTAAAGCTCTCATTTTCATCATGAAAGATGTCTTTCATAATTAATATATATTATATTTATGTAATAATTAAATCACCTATTTAATGCATCAATCAAATCTTCAATCAAATTAACTTTAATCAACTCCCTAATCATTTACATAATGAGCCATTAAAGCCTTCTAAATTAAGACTAGTCTAGATTTGGTAAGATTTCCAATTCAACAATCTACATCTCATCTTTCACTTTAGAAAGTGAATGGACAAAAAATTAGGCTCTAATATCAGAATGACTGCGCCCAAATGGTTGCCTATGTATACCCTAGGGTTGTAAGCGAACCAAGCGTTCGGCGAGCTACTCGATGCTCGGTTCGATTAAGACTCGTCTGTGATCGTTTAATTAACTAAACAAACAAACATGAACAATATTTTAAATGCTCGATCCTTAAATAAACAAGCTTGAACACTAATGTTTTCGGATCATTTATGTTCACGAACAACTTCATTTGAAGTTCATGAACAAGCTCGACATTAAGCTCAATAAAAAGCTCGAATGGAGAGAAATGCAATAGGTAAGCTTCATTTAATAATATATTCATATAGATTAATCATATTTTTATTTTAAATAGACAACTGTTTTTATTATAAATTTAATTTTCTGAACAAAAGACTTTTCACATTTGTCCATGTTTGCTACATTGTTTGTTTAAGATGTTCATGAACAAATTTAATATTTATTTGTTCAATAGTTTGTCTATTAAATACGTTCATGAATATAGCTCATTAAGACTTGTTTGTTTAAAGCTCGATAAGCATTAAACGAACTGAACATGAACCAAACATGAACACCCTTGAATTAAATGAACCAAACTTGAACACAAACAATAAAGCTCGAATCAAACGGGAATCGAACTTGAACAAGCTAATGATAAACGAACTCAAACATGAACACTCACATACTCAGCTCGGCTCGGTTCGTTTGCATCCCTAGTATACCCCCCCCCTCTCTCTCTCTCTCTCTCTCTCTCTCTCTCTCTCTCTCCCCTCTGAAGGAATCAAGCCAAGCATAGTTCTTCAAAACAAGTAGGCAATCAGTTGTAAGCTCTAATATTCACCAAACACCTACAGTTGGTGTACCTGCTCACTACTCCAACTAAAGACTTGTTCAATCTATAAATCATGTCTTTTGAGGCTCCATATATAGGCGGTTGTAACATGAGATTTTCCTTCTGCAATTCTCCATGTAAGAATGCAGTATTCACATCGAATTGCTCCAAAATCAGACCAAATTGTGTTATAAGTGCCAAGTGAACATAGGTCGAGGGATCTTTAACCACTAGGGAGAAAACATCATCATAAGCAATCCCTTCCCGTTGCAAAGAGCCTTTTGCAACCAACCTAGCCTTGTAATGCACATATGTTCCATGAGATCATTCCTTTTTTACACACCCTCATTTGCATCAAATGGCATGGCATTTCTTCATAGAGGAAGCTTTGCCAACCTCCAAGTAGCATTCTTCTGAAAAGACTCCTTATCATCATTCATAGCCTTCTTCCAAAAATCACCTTCAGGACTATCCATTGCTTCCTTATAGTGACTAGGAATTTCAACCTTTGTGGATGACAGTGTAAATGTAATGTGATCCCTCAACCATACTAATTTTGAGATATTCTAGAGCTTGTTGCTATTACTTATAATAAATTACTAGGAAAGAATATCATCTTCAACATCATCTTCTACTTCCTAATATGTAATTAAATTAGGTACCTGAGTAGAAGTGGTTAATTTAGGTACTTGAGTAGAAGTGGCCTATCTTTGTAGAGAAAATGGAGTTTCATCAAACTTCAACTTATGCAGTACACATGTGGTCCCAATAAAACTCTCCACCTGCTTCGAGTTCTAAGACTACAACATGCTTGCCTCATCGAATGTGACATCCTTGCTAATGACAAATCCTCTTTTCCAGCAGATCATAGAGTTTCAAGCCCTTGACTCCATGCTTGAAGCCAATAAAGATCGCCTTCTTTGCCTATAGTTCCAGTTTATCATTCTGAACATGATAGTCAGCTTGACTCCCAAGCACTTTTAAGTGCTACAAAACTCTAGCAGGATGCCCTAACCATATCTCATTTAGGGTCTTCTTCCCAATAGCTACAAAAGATAGATGGTTCACCAAGTGACATGCATAATCTATCACCTTAGCCCAATAGACTATATCCAACCCAACATTAGATAACACACTAAACTTTTTCCATCAAAATTTGGTTCGTCCACTCCACTATCCGAAGCACTTTTAAGTGCTACAAAACTCTAGATATGCATAATGGTGCGATAGTGATCGATGTGCTCGTAGGGGTCTGAAGTTCCATCGTAAGAATCAATATTCGGGAGTTTGAATCTTGCCGGAATGGGGTGTCGGAGGACAGCTTCTGTGAAAGGTGATGACTCCTAAAGGTCTTGTTGACGAAGAGATTGTCTTATATCTCCTACGGGGAACTCCTCTCGGACTAGCCTTCGCAACTCATGTCGTAGGGTATTACGGGGGAGTTCAGTGATGTGTAGTTGGTCTAAGTCCTCAGGGACGTCCGGAGGAATGTGATGTTGGCGGCCTATGCGCGAAGGATGTGTAGAGCTTGCTGTGCAAGCAAGCTCATTCTCTGGACGTGTTGAAGGGCGTATCCTTGGAGGAGGAAGGGGAACCTCGACATGAAGAACATCTTCGAATCCTGGCGGGTCTCGAGGGAGAAGAATATCTTCTAGGGGTGCTAGTGCCGGTCCTCGAGTTTCTCGTAAGAGTTGAAGTATCTCATTCTTAGACTCCTCCATCTTTCTGATACGCTCTTCCAACGATGGCCCTGAAGTCCCTTCTCCGGCAAGGTTTCGACCACCGGAGTGAAAAGAGGCAGATGCTTGTCATCCCTGATTCAGGGACTAATTCCTAGAATGATGTGAATTAGAGCGGGAGGCTCCCATGATATGATGGCTACGCCTGTTAGCCATTGGAGGAGTACTTAAGATAGTGGGATTGACTTTTCCCACAGACGGCGCCAAATTGTCGTGGGCTTGAATATACGCGGCGATAGAGTTTTAACTATACGTCTTAGATTTGCATGGATATTCAGCTCACACATAGAAAACACAAGATTTTTTATGTGTAAAACCCTTGAAAGGGGAAAAACCACAAGGCCTAGGCCAGTTGAAAATGATTCCACTAGAATATAAGTCAGTTACAATAGGCTGATTCGCCTTCGAGGGTGATCAGATTACAAATAACAATTATACGATAGAAGTCCAGGTGTTAGGTGATGGTCTGGCATAACGTTGGGCCTCAGGTGATGGTCTGACGAAGGTGAGGACCTCTGGCAAAGGTGAGGGCCTCTATCGAAGGTGAGGGCCTCTGGCAAAGGTGAGGGCCTCTGGTGAAGGTGAGGGTCTTTGGCGAAAGTGAGGGCCTCTGGCAAAGGTGAGGGCCTCAGGTGGTGGTCCGGCGAGGCTCCGGCGGTGGTCCGGCGATGCTCCGGCGGTGGTCCGGTGAGGCTCTACATTTGGGCTCGGATTGAGTCAAATTTGGTGTCGTTGGGTTCGTATTTCCGAGACGCTCAGTTTGATTGTAAGTTTGCTGAAATCGGAGTTCAGGTGACCCCAAATTTAATTTTTGAAGTTTCCAACTTGATTTTGCATTGAGATTCGTGCCCGATCAAGATGATTTTTTGAGTGCGTATCAATTATATAGTATGATTATAAAAATAATTATTTTTATAAACTTTAATAAAAAAATTTACATATAATGAGTCTATAGAGATTCTCTCCGTTTTGGTAGTCGGTTCATAATTGCTTGTGGCATGTAAATGTACATGGTTTCCGAAAAAATTAACCTTTTCAAGATAATCTTATGTGCTTAGTGGGTTTTTATGCTCTTTTGCTGATTAATCAACTTAAAGTCGTTTGAATGGATATTGGCAGCGTAATTAGGTGAAAAATTAACTATTTGGGGATGATTAATGGGATATACTATTGCGGTGCAATATGCATTCTTGTTGTTTATCATCATAGCCATTACAACAACAACATCATCAAGCCTTTATCTCTCTTTTTCTTTTTTTTTACAATGTGTACATGACACTTGTTTAAATGAGAACTTGTTGGAATTTTTTTTTGTAGGATATTCAAATAAAAAATCATAATAATAATTTTTAAACTTCTTAAATTTATTATTAATTATATATTTATAATTATTCAAATAAAAAAATTATTTACAATTTTTAAAGTTTTAAAACTTTTTCTAAATGCGAAATTAAATGATAGAAATATAAAAATCTTAAAAAATAATATTGTATGACTTTATAAATAAAATTTTATAATATAAAATTTATATATAATTTATATATGTAAATTATGTTTAAATATATAACATAAAATAATAATTTATATCAAATTTATATATTTATATATAAACTAAATTTTTATTAAATATAAATTAAAATCGAAGATTGAAGATGTTTATATTTAAATTTAAAATTAGTAATTAATTATATTTAAATATATAACATAAATATAATAATTATTTATATTTAATATTAAAATTATGTAATATATTATATATGTATGAATTTTATTTATTTTTTAGTTTCAAAATTCTTAGAAGTTCGACATTTTATTTAAAATAAAAAAATAAAAAAATATTTAAAAAAAAAAGAATGACATTTTATGTTGCCAAATATTCTAAGGCGACACTATAATCTTAAATACAAAACCATTACAAACTAATTAAAATAAATTTAATATTTTTAATTAATCAGTCTCTATTTCCTTATTACAAAATCCATAACAAAATTCTTACGATACTTGTATGTGTATTTAATACCCATCCCGTAACCTCTTCCCCTCTTATTCCCCTATATAAGATCTCACAGATTAGCTCGATTATATTTCATTTCTAATCATTTGATTAAGTAATCCAACAATTTTGAACACTTTTATAAATATTCGGGTATCAAATAAACAAATTTCAATTTATATTTCATTTCTAATCATTTACAATTTTAAACACTTTTATAAATATTCGGCTATTCAATAAGCTTTAGATGAACGAGCAGCTCTAAAAGAATAAAACGAACTTTAAGTGAGCTGAGCTTAAATCAAGCTCGAGTATATATGAATTTACATGAACTATAGCTTTAATATTATCATACAAGCTTGATTCGAACTCAGCTCATTTAAAATTTTTCTTGTTCTTATTGAGCTGCTCATTTATCTAATGTTTATTTGAGCTCGATCGGGCTTTTATGATAATGTGGAAGTTCTAGTTCATACTTGCTCGAGCTTGATTTAGGCTCAGCTCATTTAAAGTTCATTTTATGCTTATCGATCCACTCATTGACCTAATGCTTGCATATTATTACAAATGCCCGATTCCAGCTAAACCCAAGCTCAAACAACCTATGGGCAAGCGAACCAAAATTCAAACATCCATAGGCTTAGCTGGGCTCAGCTCTTTTTATAATAATTTTAAGATATTATTTTCTTATAAATAGTAAGAAAAATATCTCAAATAAAAGACTTAATTATTTTTGTGAATTTATACTACCAGAAAATGATGCTAGAGTTGGTGTAGCATGTTATATTGCAAGTGAATTTCTTTTCAACAAACACTAGTGAGAAGCCAAAATGATATGCATGTCAACAGCAACAAGTGACCATGAAATACGTTAACTTAAAATTTGAAATATGTTAACTTAAAATGGAGGGTTGGGTTTGTCTTCTTTGCTTGCAATCCAATTTTCTTTCAATTGTTCAGTTATTCTCAGAATGTACAACACGGAATCTCCACTATCTTCTTGGTTCTAGCATATTTACATCTCCTTGGCGCCCTACCCCATCGTTTGCTACTAATTTTTGAAAAGCTGTTTGTAATACAGTTATTGTTGCTAAGGATAATTTCCTCTTTAGAGTTACTCCTCATGCCCCCATCTCCCTGCACTGGGACCATTGGTCTTACAATGGCAAGTTAGAGGAATATTTTGAAGGCCACTTTTTGCTTCATGCCACCAATTCTAATTCTCTTCTTAGGGACTTCATTACGGCTATTAGCTGGGATCTTCCTGACTCTTTGCCGGTCACTGTTTGCAACACTATAAATGGTATTTCTATTTTGGATATCTCTAACTCTTACTTACTTTGGGGTAACCTGAATAAAGGTAAATTTGGTGATTATGTTAATGAGTATTACTCGCATTTGCCAAGGTGTTCCTAGTATAATATGGTTTGTCATTCCAAGCATGTCTTGAGATTCTCGAGTTACACATGACTAGCTATCGTTGGGGGATCAAAAACTGCTGAAGCTTTGCATAAAAGAAACATCTATGTTCCGTTAATATGCAGTTTATACCATGAGTATCCTGAAAGCGATGCTCATTTACTTTTTTAAAGTTCTCATTCCTTTGCTATCTTATCGGACCTCATGCCTAGCACTAAGGGTCTCTTTATTAGACCCACAATTCTCCAGCTTTTTGAGTGGATTGATGGTGATCATAGAACACAACAATCGGTTAAAAATTTATTTTTGCTCGTTTCCTACTATTCTATCTACTATATTTGAAAAAAAATGAATAATAGGAGATTTGAGAACATAATACATCCCTAAGCATTAAAAAAGATGTTTTTGAAAAAGTCATCAAGTGGAAGAATTCCACAAACTTTTTGGATCTGATTTAGCTGGGACTTGTTCATTTCATTGTGCCTCTTGTTTTTGTTGGTATACAGTCCCACTGGATGCCTCTGATCTTCGACATGGTTTATTGGGCTGCCTTATGTCCGCTACACTTTTGATTTTTGCCTGCTGGTGTATTCGCCTAGCCTTGGACAATGATGCAGCTCCTAATGCAAGCTCCCCTTAGATGATCTTCGGGCAACCAGGGGTTTAAGTTTTTCTATTATTTGCTAGTTTAATCCCTGATTCCAGGCTTCTTTGGCATTTGGAGCACTTTTTTGTGAATTTATAGCCTCTTTATTTTGTGCAATTTTTGTTGAGTAGGTTTTTTGAGCTCAGTTGAGCTTGCCCCTTTTTTGTGTGGGGCAATTTTTTTGGTTTACTTATTACATGTAATCTCAATTTTCTCTTCAGTATACGGGCCAAGCTCAATTTTTTTTTTTTTAAAATGAAATTAAAAAAAAATAAATGAATTAATTAAAAAAAAAACTTAAATTTGAAATCAGTTATCATTTGAATGATGTATGCCCTTTAAATATCCAGCCTCTGTGTATGCTGCTGGAACAATGGTGCAGTAACACATTGCTGTATACTGCCAGACAACTTCATATCAAATGATCTTGAACTAATCTATGATCCTGTATTGAATAAATGGGAGACGTTGACCAAAAATCCAAAGCTGAAACCTTGCTTAATTGTTTGTAATTGTTTGGGTTTCAGCATTATCAAGCAGGGATCCTTAAAGTTGATTCTGACCTGAGAAGATTTAGCTAAAATACTTGATGAAACATGCTCAAATACAGCATTAGAAACATTGAAAGTTAGTATGACTACAACAAGAGAGAGGTTCCGCACATCCATAAAAAAGAAGGCTAATTTCTTGAGGAATTTATATCTCCACTATGATTTAATTATCCTAAGGATATGACTAGAGTTTAACAAGCACTAGAGTATGTCTTAAACAAATAAGATAGTATCTTCTTGTAATCACCCATTTGAGTTCCAGTGTTGGGATCTACAAGATATGGTACCTGGAGAAGAAGATCGATCTTTATAGGATTACAGCAATTAACCATTTAAAGAGAAAAAATAGAGGTAGAAATCCTTAACAATAGTTAGGTGGATTTACAGATTGGAATGTTTAAAAATTACCTCTTTAGAACCAGACGCTGTCAGGAGCAACTCAATGTTCGATGACCCTTCTCCCACATTGTGGAGGACATATGAGAGTTCTAATTCACATAGTGCTTCACGAACAATTCTTGCATACTGCAAATAATGCAAGTTAATTGTAAAAGGATGGATTTTATGCTTGCTGGATGCATAGATTGTCGAATTCGTACTTACCGGATTGTTTTCATAAGAGAAAAGCTCCAACATCTTTAAAGGTGGCTCTATTACAGCCCTGTCCCACAATGTCATGCCTCTTCCAGCTCGAAGGAGTGTAGGCACCCACCCTGTAAATGGTGTGCTGCAATATGGTAAACAAAATTTTCAATCCAGAAAAAAGGGAAGAATGTTGCATTTGGAGAACTGTGCTCATAAAGAGAAGTTTAAGTTGCTTTAACTTTCTGGTAAGAACATGATATATATATATATATTAAGAAGCAATAAGCTGCATTAATAACTAAAAAAGCAAAACAAACTACAAACAACTAACATTAGATACCTCCTTTAACAACAAAATAAAAGGAGTAACCTTACTCATACTAATGTCTTCCCAAATAAAAGAACTAAACGTAGCATAATTAGCACATAAATCAACTAACTTATTACTATACCTATCTATACAATTGAAAATCACATAATTGAAATCCTTAATGAAACAAAGATTTCAAACTCCTAGAAATTGCGAGTTATGCAAATCGAGGAATAGATATTGATATTGTCATGAAGGTGGTTAAACTGGAATTCTCATTAAAAAAATTCTCCTCACTCTATGCCTATGGACATATTTCAGTCAAAGGCTTCTATTTCTACATGGATTTAGCATGATATGTAAACACTGTTCCTATTACAAAACTAACAACAGCATCCCAAAGTGTATAAAGAGCACTTGGAAAGCAACCGAGAAATAAAATAGATACTTTCCAGCTTTAAATAACTTCATCATCAGGGCAATTAATGAGCCGCATTGTACCCCCAGATCAGGATAATCCATCTCTACTGACCCACACTTGCACTATTATGGAAGTGAAGATCTTCTCTTAAAGCTCATCTTTTGTTTGCTGAAGATATGCCATTATACTTCTTCCTAGTGTGGGCTCCGATAATTCATGCCTCGGCCTCTCCGTGCCTGCTTTTTATTGATGGAGAGAGTTTTAATGGATTTAGAATCAAGGTAAATTTTTAGAAGGCTGATTGGGATTTAAATAAGACACTAGCAAGAGATTTCACCCTCATTTAGCAAGGACTTTGTGATCTGAGTTCTGGTTTCCTGTAGACACAAGCCCCTATATTTAATTACTCATCCCGATAATGAGAGCGAACTTTCAATTAAGGCTAGTCGTGAGATTTTTCTATTTGAAATTTATCACCACATACTTAAAACGGGTGATAGGGGGAATGAAAATGAGCCCGATCAAGATCCCATATTTCCGTCGTCCCGAGCCATTAGGGTCCCTAGTCAACGTAGTCAGAGAAGGTAGTCAACTTAACCTAACCGAAGGAACCTTGTCGGCAACCATGTGTTGCTTCATCCAAGGATATCTTATACACCTGGGATGGATATTTATCTAAGGAGATACATTTGAGTTCACCTTAACTGACAAAAGGGCTTTATGCCTATCGAGTATATCTTATGATTCATTACTCAAGAATTGAAACCATTGGGATTATACGGGCTTTGGCAATGATCGCAATATAATGGTGTCATTTTGCATCAAACTACCCAATCAGAGGACACAGTCACGTCCCTAATGCAGAGAGATTATTTGATGATAAATTGTTAGACCGGTCCATTGGACTAGTTAAGCCAGTCCACGCGGGACCGGTCCAAGCACGAACAAGGCGGACTGCCTCCGCCTCTTTCCGTGACCGACCATATTGTAGGCGCCTGAGGATCATTTGAGGAAGGATTTTTTAGGGTTTTGGGAGAGAATTTGAATGTATGGACTGTTTAGGGGTTTCCTTTTTATTTGTATGCATTAAATACTTTATTTTCCTAGGGTTAAAGCAACTTGAATTTGGTTGAAATTTGATATCTCTTAGATTTTAGGTTTCCTTTGGGCTCTAGCTGCGTCTAGAGATTTGGGAGAGATCGATCCTCCTCTCGAATAGAGGATCAAGTGTATTTTGCTATTTTCCATTTTGCTTTCATCAAGTAATACAAATTATCTATTATTTTTGTGATTTTGTGCGGATTTTTTGAAGAATTCTCGCTGTTTTTAGAAGATTGATAGGAAATACTCGCGATCTACAAGTACTTCCTATCCAATTAGTATCAGAGCACGTCGATCGAAGGGGAACCAATGGCCGGAAGGAAAGTTGAAATTTTGGAGGGAGAACTTAGTCAACTCAAAGCAGATTTTGAGGAAAAGATGACTTATTTTCAAAGTCATATTACATCCGTCAATGAAAAGATGGAGGAAAAGTTCATCGTGGTGGAAGACTTGTTGAAAACATTGCTTGAAGCCAAAACCAAACCGGTAACATCAGAAGCAAAGAAAACTACTGTCGGGCATGGAAGAGATGGGAACCCTAAAACTTCTGGGGGAAGGGAAAAGCCAGAAGTGGAGATCTTGGAGGGAGAAAACGGAATGCTTCCTCTAGAACCACTTTCTAGGGAGGAGATGAGCATTGGCTATGCAAGGAGGGGTGCTGAATTTGTAAGGCGAGGGGATGATTTCGATCGACGGGGTGCTGATTTTGAAAGAAGAAGGGATTTTGATGAATGGTTTGAGTATAATCGCCGAAGGGAAGATCGTGACAATTGGGGAGCACCTCCGCTTCGAGGAATGGAAGGTTATGGATGATTTAGGGGAAATGGGTGTGATCCGAGGGTGAGGAAACTGAAGATGCCAATCTTTGAAGGGGAGGATGCACATGGTGGATCCACAAGTTATAAAGATATTTCACTGTCAATGGGCTGACAGAGGAGGAGAGATTGACAGCGACAAGCCTATGTTTAGAAGGGAAGGCTTTGTCTTGGTACCAGTGGAGGGACATGAGACCACCCATATGGAGTTGGAGAGAGTTCAATGATTGTTTGGTAGAACGTTTCCGAATGGGCAGGAGAGAAGACTTCTACGAGCAATTCTTTGCCTTGACACAGGAGGGTTCAATGACGGAGTACCGAGAGAGATTCGAGTACCTTGCTAGCCAATTAGACCACCTTTCTGATACAATGCTAGAGGAAAACTTCATGAAGGGATTGACACTAGAGATCTGAGAAGCAGTCAGCGTAATGAGGCCTCGTGACTTGGGAGAGGCTATGAAGCTAGCTCAATTGGTGGAAGATTAGAGGCACCTGAGGGAGAGGCAGGAGGTGGCAGCTCAGGAGGCTCGCATAGGATGACCACCACTTTATTGAAATCCAAGGAACCAACACCATATACTCTTTGGGGGACTTTGAAAGAAAAGACTGCAGGAGGAAGACCAGGGGACAACTTCAAGAAGCTCACAGAGACAGAATTACAGGAAAAGAGGGCGAAGGGGCTCTGTTTCAGATGTAACAAGAGGTATACGCTGGGACACAGCTGTAAAGACCGAACTCTTCAGGTTCTTACTGTTTGTGACGAAGAAAGAATGGAATGTGTCGTTTTTCCACCTTGCAGACAAGGTGAATCTTTGGGAGAGGAGTATTGTTAGACCAGTTCACTGGACCGGTCCAACCGATCCACGCAGAACCGGCCCAAGCATGAACGAGGTGGACTTCCTCCACCTCTTTCCGCGACTGACCGCACTGTAGGCGCCTAAGGATCATTTTAGGGAGGATTTTTTAGGGTTTTGGGAGGGAAATTTGAATGTAGGGACTGTTTAGGGATTTCCTTTTGATTTGTATGCATTAAGTGCTTTGTTTTCCTAGGGTTAAGGCATCTTGAATTTGGCTGAAATTTGAGATCTCTTAGATTTTAGATTTCCTTTGGGCTCTACCTGCGTCTACAGATTTGGGATGATCCTCCTCTCAAATAGAGGATCAAGTGTATCTTGCTATTTTCCGTTTCGCCTTCATAAAATAATATAAATTATCTACTGTTTTTGTGATTTTGTGCAGATTTTTATGAAGAATTCTCGTTGTTTTTAGAAGATTGATAGGAAATACTCATGATCTACAAGTACTTCCTATCATAAATCTTAGTGATACACCTGACATGACATTCCCTCTTTGTGAACTAAGGTTAATTTCAAATTTATCATCCCCGAAAAACAGTTGTTGAAGGCGGGTGGATTTTAGTTTTAAGTTTTGATGATAAAATTTCTATTTAAATGTTTAGAATTTGAGTAGATTTTATAATTTTAATAGACTTTAAAATTTGACCTTCCAATTAAGATTTGCAATTTTACTAGATCCGCGAAGCCCTCTCAGATCCGGTATTTAGAAGCTTGACATAAAAGACCGGAGCACATGCGGAAGATATTTTAGCATATCAGAGCTATCATATGGGTATTTGAGCACTTTTAGCAAATCCGCAAAGCATTCTCAATCTTACATTTAGAAACTTGATGCAAAGACCGGAGCACATGCAGAATATACTTTCATTCAAGTTTGGTGGGATTTGAATTTAGGTTATGAATGAATGATTTAAAGTTTTGAAGGCACTTTGAAAATTACATAGCTCTTTCTAGTTTAAATTTCCTCAACCCGAGTATTGTTTGAATATTTGATCATTTTTAATGAATCTGCGTAGCATTCTTAGATCTTGCATTTCGGAGACTGGAGCAAATGCGAATTATTAGGAAAACAACGATTAATCATTTCTTTCATTTCCATACTTTCAGTCGACGGGAATGCAAGCAGCAAAGTAGCACAAGCTTCAATGATCATCATTTCATCCTCCCACTAACTTTGCAACAAGAAAGCCTCGTCATCCTTTTCCTTGTCCGTTTCAGCAGCATTCCCAGCTTCTTGATTGGATATAAAAAATGGAGCATAGCAAAGGTACTACATCTCAATAAATTACTTTACTTGCAAGTACTATATGCTAATTCACCCAAAACACGGGCTTATAGAGTAACTTCAGTAATTGGCTGACTTGATTCATTCTTAATAACTATAATCATAATTTCATATCCATTGGCATATTCTATTTTTAAAAATTGTGTAATATGAGGCTCTCCTTGAGGCCCGCCTCAGCGCAATTCGAGTGAAAAATGCATCGAGCCTTACGCCTCAAACTTTTTTTATGAGGCTTGTGCTTTAGCTTGGCTAAGGCCCGCCTCGAGGTATGTCATGCCTCACTGGCATGAGGCTTACGCCTCACCCAATTTATATATATTTTTATTAAAATTTACATAAATCTTAAGCTAAAG